AGTGGAAAAGGGGAACCGATTACAAGGATCCACATATAACCCCCTCCCTGTGGGACGAACAACAGAAAAGTGGGTGAAGGGAGACATTGGCAGTATAAGACATAATAATAATAATTATAAATAATAATAACTTATAAATTATCAAGGGTTCATGGGGGGCAGGGAGAGAGGCAAAAAAATGAGGAGCTGATATTAAGGGCTCAAGTAGAAAACAAATGTTTTGAGAATGATTATGGCAACAAATGTACAAATGTGCTTGACACAATGGATGTATGTATGGATTGTGATAAGAGTTGTACGAGCCTCCAATAAAATGATTTTTAAAAAGTCTGTTGGAAAAAAAAGGAATATTTAGGGAAAAAAGAATTGTGATAAAGAAGTGTTCAAAGAATGACTTCTGCCATCAAGTTAATATTCACTCCTCATGTCAATTTACATACATGAAATGTTTATCTTACCTCATGTGCTTGCTTTCCACTATAGGACATTTTCTTAACTGCCACCACTTCATTAGTATGAGCATGCGTGGCCTGTGTTAGCGGACAGAAGAAAAAAATTTTAATTAATATTTCAGCCACAAATATTTTAGCAGACTTAAAAAATCCCCAAAACATTCTCTAACTTCCTTATCATAGTTCTAAAATACTGCCCAACTTTTAACAGGCCTGATAAACATTTACACCCCACTTTAAGATACAGCTCCTTACAGCACAGATGGCAGTATAAGAAAGGACAAAAGTTTAATAAAATATATTCAATGAAACAAAAACTTTTCATATTTCTAAAATATCCATACTAGCTTCACCACGTAGAAAGTCAATCCACGGCAACAGATCTGGTATCATCTAATAAAATAACCATTAAAATAATGATGCAATCAATATGTGCATGCAGTAAAATGAAAAGACGTCAAACATATATATAAAAATAAGCTATTTAGTATGATCTTATTTCTGTAAAATAGTAATAATGTACAGATATCTGTGGGAAAAAATTATCACAGAATATCTATCAGTAATATCTAGAGACTCTCTTTCTGTAATTATGGAAATGTTCCATATTTGAACTGTTCACTACAATACCATGTAAAATATGGTTAGGGAATGAATTATAAATTGTAATTAATAAATAGTTACATGTAGCTAGGGGCCTCTATACTGAACTATGTATCAAAAATGTAAGATTAATCATATAGTAAACTATTTTCAAGTCAGTCTGCGTCAGTCAAACCCCTCATGCAAGTAAGCTATTCTGGCTGCGTGTATTATGATGATTATGGGCCCTAAACACTATCTACAACAATGCCTTTGAGATAGAAGATCTGAATCAATATAATCTATGAATTTGGAAAAAATTTTTTGAGGGGGCATATAATTATTTTCTTAAATACAACTGATTGAAGAATTTCCTCACTTATTACAAGTTTCTTAGTAATTTTAAAATGTTAATTCAAACAATAATTCACTGGTGTATAATGAATTCAATTCCATATTCTTACTGAATATCAAAAAGCAGAGAAAGTCAACATACAATCTTTTTAAAAAATGTCTTTCAAAAGCAATAAGGTAAAAGTACCTAAAAGTATCTATTATGCAAACAAGGTATCCATTAGTCATCATTTTTAAATCTGCTCTAATACAAAACTCTACAAAAGGACTTTTAAGATATTTTATTCATTTAGAAGGTATATTTTGACTTTCATTAAAAATATCTTTCAAATATAACTATCTTTCACATTGTGCTGCCTCTAAAATTTTAATATTAAGACTATGTTTCTAGTTGTTTATTGCTCCATTTGTGAGGATTTAATATATGTATATACTGAGTTGTACTGGACTGTAGTTTTTTATTTTCATCATGAAGTGCTTTAAGATCCCCTCACTTTAGCAAAGTAAAGTTGTGCCATCTTCATATTGAAGATTGTTAATAAGTCTTCTTCCCATCCTGATAGTGCATTCTTCTTCAGAGAGGTCAGCTTCTGGGATTATGTGTTTAGCATTTAGACTGAATAATAAGTAGAGTGAAAGGATACAACCCTTATGCACATTTTTCTTCTTTTTAAACCACGCAGCATTACCTGGTTCTATTTGAATGACTGACTTTTGGTCCATGTACAGGTTCCACATAAGCACAATGAAGTGATCTGGAATCCCCATTCTTCCAATGTTATCCTGACTTTCTTATGATCCACACATCTTTCTGGTATTTTCTGCTTTCAGGCAAGATCTATCTGATATCAGCAATGATATTCCACCTCCTCTTCTAAATATGACTTGAATTTCTGGTAGCTATTAATCAATGTACTACCGCAACCATTTCTGGATTATCTTCAGGAAAATATTTTTTTCATGTGATAGAATATTGTTTTATAATCCCTGCATTCTGTTAGGTCATTTTTCTTTGTAAATTGGCACAAATATAAGTCCCTTTCAGTCAGTCAGTCAGGTACTTAGCTATCTTCCAAATTTCTTAACAGACAAGTGAGGGCTTCCAACTCTTCATCAGTTTGTAGAAACATTTCTATTGGTATTCTGTCAACTCCAGGACTCGTGTTTTAGCTAACACCTTCAGTGCGGCTTATACCTCTTCCTCCAATACCATTAGTTCTTCATCTTCTTGACCAGTGCTGAGTGGGTATTCTAATTCTAGGACTCTGCACATTGCATTATGATACTCAACTTTATTTTCTCAAGCTGCTTTTTGAAAATTTCTGTTCAGCCCCCGCATTATATCATGTATTTGCTTTGACTACTCTAAATTCAAGAATACGTTTCACAGTCTCTCCTGATATCCACGTTGATCTTTTCTTTATTCCTCATCTTTATAGTGATCTCTGCTACTTCGTGTAGAATGTTCTTGATGTTATCCTACAACACATGTATTCAATGTTGTATGTCTTCTGAGACAGTCTCGAAATCCAAGTGTGATATAATCAGTTATATTTTGCTCCTTGTGGACTTGCTTTAATCTTCAACTTCTCCATTCAGATGAGCAAGTGATGGTCAGTTTCAAGTACAGCATCTGGTCTTGTTCTGAGTGAAGATACTGAGCTCCTTCAGCATCTATTTCCACACACAAAGTCTACTGGATTCCTGTATGTTCTATCTGGCAACTTCCATGTATGTAGTCACCATTTATGTTGTTCAAAAGGAGTATTTGCAATGATGAAGTTGTTAGTCTTTCAAAATTCTATCATGAAATCTCTAGCTTTGTTTCTATGATGAAGGCCATATATTTCAATTATTAATTCATCCTCTGGTTCACATCCTATACACCAGGAATTACCAATGCATCTACAGTGGTTAGTGTGTAAATCTGAACAATACTTGTATTAATTGGTCAACCTTGTGACTACATTGCCCTATGACAGATAGCACTGTACATCCGGAAAGATTTTGAAATGTTCTTTTGGATGATGGATTTGATGCCATTCCTCTTCAATTTGTCATTCCGAGCATAATACTATGATTGTCTGATTCAAAATGGCCAATACGAGTCCATTTGAGCTCACTAGTGCCCAGGATATTGATCTTTATGTGTTCCATTTCATGTCTTACAACTTCCAATTTTCCTAGATTCATACTTTATACATTCCACATTCCATTTATTAATGGATGTTTCTAGCTGTTTCTTTTCATTTTGAGTTGTGCCACTTTAGCAAATGAAGGTTGACATTACTCTGAGGAGACAGCTCTACCCCCGTCATATTTTGAGTGCCTTCTACCTTGAAGAACTCATATTCCGACTCTATGTCAGACAACGTGGCACTGCTGTTCAGAAGGTATTCACGGTGGCTACATTTTCACGAGTGGACTGTCTCTTCCTTAATCTATAAGTTCTTCTGATACTTGCCTACTACAGGTGACCATAGGGATAGCCGAAATAATAGTAGCACAACTTTCAGCATCATAGCGACAGCCAAACCATTATAGTATGACAAACTTACCAAAAAGTGATACTCGATTGGGGTAGATGACTTGAAATCCTAACAATATTTTTATGCTGATTTTTCTATGGCTAGGAGATATTTCTAATACAAATATTACAGTGGTTAAAGTACAGAACAAATTACACTGAAGATAATTAAAAACAATGTTTTAGTACAGAAAATGGGCACTATAAATGAGACCTGTTTTCCAGTGCTCCATACTATGTTATGAATAATTACAGTCTCTAAGCATTTCAAGCTTTTTCTTGAAATATTCATTCCTAACACTTCCAACAGTGTCACTGTTTTAAGTAATGTTTAACAAGATCATTCTTTTAAAATATAGTTATTGAGAATTTAGCATGCATTTCTAATGTTTTCTTAAGTATTCTGTAGCTACTTGGCATTTATAACCAACTTTTTCTGTACTTATTTACTTCAACTAAAACTAAAAGGCAGAGAAACTGAACTAAATTATTTGCTTTAGGTGGATAATGGATGATATGTTGAGTTCCACAAGGCAGTTCTAGAAAGATATAGACTTAGTTGTATTTAAGCAAATATGAAAATGAGTATGCTCAATCCTTTTATATTTTCTTCTTATATAATTTCTTACAATTTACTTCATTTAATTTTAGTATCTTACTTCTTTTCCTGCTAATTTCTAAATTACTTATGTAAATATAAATACACAGCAATATTTCATCAAACTAATAATTTCTATTTCCTCTGAACATAACATGTATTTTCAGCTGATTAGTCTATAAGAATTGAGGCAGCTTACAATTCACTTTAGGTAGATTTCCTGGCTTCATTCTGGATAGAACCTGCCAACTACAAAGAAACTACAGTAGAATTTCAATGTCTAGGTATAAAAACAGTGGTAGCTAGACACCAGTCTTTCTAGCTTGCCAATATGATTATGATTTATGAAAAGTACTAATTATTAGTATATGACACTCTCTGAATCCTTCATAATTCATGCACCCACTTATCCAGCCATCAAATACTTATTGAGTACCCACAGTCTGTCAGATGTTGGATTCAGTGCTGGATATATAGCTGTGAGCAAATAAGGCCAGTATCTACCTCTGCTCTAATAGGATAAATACACATGGTAGCCAAGCTAAAATCACAAATATTAAATTGCAACTGAGACCTGTACTATCAAGAAGGGTATGTGTTCACTTGAGACCAATAGATCTAGAGGAATTAAGATGATGAAAATGGGAAGAAAAGCATCCCAGAGAGTAGTTTATGCAAAGCCCTCTGACGGATGATGAAACAAAAGCCAATATCACTAGAACAATGGGAGTGAGGAAATGGAGTTCAAGGATAGACAGGAATCATATCATGAAGGGGCATTTTGGAGGCCCACATTACAGATTTTGATTTTTTGTCAAAGAACAGTGGACAGTCTCTGATGTTTTATAGCCAAAAGGTGGCCAGGTATACATGTTTGTTGGTTTGTTTCCAAGCTCACCGATCTTTCCAACTATTTAGTCATTATTCATGTGACATTTATTGAGTTCTTACTATATGTCAGACAATGAACAAAATGGATTCAATCCTTGTCTGTAATGGAACTTATTATTTACTCGGAGAAAGACAAATGAATAAAAATCTTTCATGCATAATCATTTTATTACAACTATAATGTATCCCAATAAAGTATTACGGAGAGGGTCTTATAAAATCCCAAAGAGTACTACTTTCGTGTGGGAGGTTTGAACAGGAATGTAGCCCTGACGTTGAGACCTGTAGGTGAACAGGAGTTGGGAAAGGATGAAGACGTAAGGTGAAAAGTTCTCTTGGTGAAGGGAATAACGCATGAGGCTCCCAGGGCGTGAAAGAGTCTGGCACCTTAGAGAAATGTGCAGGGCATAACTTCAAGCTGCAACTTTTTGGTAGGGTCTTAAGGGTCGATTCATGTACCACTGACTCGGATAATGTCTGAAATCCCAACGCCAGCTTTTCAACAATATCACTTGGCTCCTACTATAGATACCCTTTAACAAAGTATATTTCACAAGGGACAGCTAGAATGTATAGAGTTCCCACTTTCTCTATCTGATTTATCTAAATGATTCTTTTAAATTACTTACAAAATAAACGGCTCCAAAACTTCCATGCCCAATTTCATGCAAACCAATAAAAAGTTCTTCAGGATCATCTTTGTAGAACAGATCCGAAATCTCTGGGTCTTTTGGCACCCCTTTCGGCATGATGATAAGTACTGAGAGTACTTTACTTTTTGATATCACAGTCACCTTTATCTCCCATTGACAAGGTTTTTTAGTAAATCTTCAGCACCTGTAGAGAAATGAGGTTTGCCATTAACTTCTTTTTAACACATTTTGTTTGGTATCAATATAAATTAAAATCAATAATAAAAACATTTATGTCTTGCAACTCATAAACAAAAAGACCAAAAAGCCTCATCTGAATAGACTTTTTTTCACCAAATGGACATTAGGACATGAAAAATGTTTAAGATGATTAATTATCACAGAATTGCACAGACAAAATGTACCATGAGATACCATTTCACACCCATAAGGATAACTGTTTTTTAAAAATCTGTGATGGTTGCACAGATGCATATTCTTGTTAAGGCATATTGTGCTCTTTAAAAATGTTCAGATTGATATCGATTACACACAAATAAGATTGAGCAACTTTCTGCCATATAGGTGCCAGTTATTCTTGAATCAATGAGATAGAAACATACATGCACATTCATCGACTGACATATTCAAATGACAAATAACATATGGTATTTTTACACAAAACACATGCACATTAATCTTTTTTCAAAAAACAAAACCAAACTATGCAACCACTCAGGTAATGTTTTCCAAGGCAAGTACACTGCATTTTACTTAGTTGGGCACACCATATGTGATAGGAGCCCTGGTGGTGTAGTGGTTACAATATTGGGCTGGGATCCACATGGTTGACAGTTCAAAGTCACCAGCAGTGGTGCGGGGAGAAAGACTGTGCTTTCTACTCCGATAAACAGTTGCCGTCTCAGAAACACATAGGGGGCTTGCTATGAGTTAGCATTGACTTGATGGAGGTGAGTTTGGTCTGGTTATATGTACAATACACTAAATAGTAAACTGAAAAAAAGAAATACTAGAGGTCAATTTGATATGAGACATGTGTAACTTCACTACTATTCAAAGAACTGAAATAATAAGATGCCTCTTTTCACTCACAAAATTGGAAAACAGAAGAAAAAGATACATTTATTTTGGTGTGAGCATAGAAATAGTCAATTTCATATACTGCTGGGAAAGTAGAATGGAGCAAACTTTGACATAATGTCCTTTAAGGAATGTATATTATGCTAAGCAGATATTTTTAATTTGTATTCTTTTAAGAAAAAGAAGCAAAGCACAAGGAGATAGAGCATAGACGGAGTGAGCCTCCATTCAAGATAGGCAACATTACTTCCTTTATCTAAGTTTGGGGCTTGTATTTTATCTGTTCCCCATCATCAGTCAGATTGTCATACTATGGCAGCTCGCATGTTGCTATGATGCTGTAAGTGCCATGCCAAGTGGTACTTCCAATATTAGCAGGGTGACCAGGTGAGCACATTTCAATGAAACTTGCTAGAAAGAAGAAAAAGGGGCCCATGGCTGAAAAGTTAGCCCCTAAAACCTTATGGTTCATAGTAAAACATGTATGTATGGAGCATAAATCCAGGAAAATTAAAAGTGATCAAAAATGAAATGGACGCATAAAGATTGATAAACTTTGCATTAGTGTCCTAAAGGTTGAACATAAAATATTGGCATTAACCATTTTGAATTGAAAAATCATACAGTTTCTATGACCGGAATGACAACTTCAAGAGAAATGGTGTAATGTTCCTTGTACAAGAGAAAATGTCAAGATCTATATTGAAATACAATGTTGGCTTTGATAGGATAGTATCTATATACTTACAAGTAAGACCAGTTAATATAAGTACTATTCAAATTAACACACCAATCACCAAAGCCAGTGGCAAATAGATTAAATAATTCTATTAACTTCTTCAGTCTGAAATTGATCAAGCAGGTAATCAATATGTATTGATAATTACTGGTGCTTAGAATGCAAAAGTTGGAAACAAAGAGGAAGTATCAATAGTTGGAAAATATGGCTTTGCCTATAGGAATGAAGCTAGAGATTACACGGCAGAATTTTGCAAGACCAGTGACTACTTCCTCATTGTACATAGTATTTTTTAGCAACTTAAGCATCAGCTATACATATGAGCCTGGCCACTGGAATATAAAGGAGTAAAACGGACTATATCTTTGGGAAGAGATAACAGGGAGGTTCTATATCATCAGCCAAAACAAGTCCAGGGGCCAACTGTGGAACTGACAATTAATTGTTCATATGCAAGTTCAGGTTGCAGTTGAAAAAAATTAAAACAGGTCTAGGAGACCCAAAATAAGATCTTGAATATCCCACCTGAATTCAAAGATTATCTCATGAATAGATTTAAAACATTGAATACTAATAACTGAAGACCAGATAAGTTGTGGGATGACATCAAGATGTGGAAAAAGCAAAAGGTCATTTAAAGAAAAAAAAAAAGTGGATGTCAAAGAGACTCTGAAACTTGCTCTTGAACATAGACTAGCTAAAGCAAATAGAAGTGATGAAGTAAAAGAGCTAAACAGAGACTTTCAAAAGGCAGCTGTAGAAGATAAAGTAAAGCAATTTAATGATATATGCAAAGACCTGGATTTAGAAAACCAAAAGGGGAGAAGATACCAAATGTTTCTCAAGTTGAAAAAACTGAAAAGTAATCCTTGGTTTGCAATATTGAAATAAGCAAAATATTAAATGATGCAGAAAAAAAAGAAGGAATTTACACAGCCACTGTAGCAAAAAGAATTGGTCAAGAGCCACCCATTTCAAGAGGCAGCATGTAATTAAGAACTGATAGTACTGAACGAAGTTCAGGCTGCACTGAAAGGCTTAGTGAAAAACAAAGCTCCAGGAATTGACAGAACACCCACGGAAATGCCTTAAAGAACTGATACAGCACTGAAGCATTCACTAATCTATTGTCAGACATTTAGAAGACAGATACCCAGCCAACTGACAAGAAGAGAGCAGTATTTGTGCCCACTCCAAAGATTTTGTCGAACAATTAGTATAACATGAAAGTAAACAAAATCACATGCTAATAAATTTTAGCTTGAGATAATTAAAAAAACACAGTTGCAGCAGTGCATCGACAAGGTAATGCCAGAAATTCAAGCTGGATTAAGAAGAGGGATGTGGATGAAGGGATATCATTAGTGACTTCAGATGGATCTTGGCCTGAAAGCAGAGACTCCTTGAAAGATGTTTACCATATATACTCGAGTATAACCTGACCCGAATGTCATCTGAGACACCTAATTTTACCACAAAACTACCTTTTAAATATGCTGAAAAAATTAGCTTATACTTGAGTATATACAATACCTGTATTTTATTGACTATGCAAAGACATTTGATTCTATGAATCGGAACAAATTATGGATAATACTATAAAGAAAGGAATTCCAGAACTTGTACAGAGACCAAGGGAATACTGTATATCTTAAAATCAGGAATGCTGTGTGTTCCGGTTATCTCCTTTCAGCATACATATTCAAGTTGTTTGCTGAACAAATCATCTGAGCCACTGGACTACATGAGAAAGAATGCAGCATCAGAATTGGAGGAAGTCACGTTAACAACCTGCGAAGTGCAGATGAGCCAACCTTGTTTGTGAAAGCAAAAGAGCATTTACTGATGAAGATCAAGGAATACAGCCACCAATATGTATTATACCTCAATGCAAAGGAGACAAAAATCCTCACAATTGGACCAATAGACAGTATCATGATAGACAGAGAAAAGACCGAAGTTGTCAAAGATTTCATTTTATTTGGATTCATAATCAATGCTCACGGAAGCAACAGTCAAGAAATCAAAAGATGCATTGCATCGAGAAATAAATCCCTGTAAAAACCTACTTAAAACATTTAAAAGCAAAGATGTTACTTTGCAGCTTATGATGGGTGGTGCCCTAAGTCAAGGTATTTTTAAGCTCTTCATATCTATATGAAAGCCGAACAATGAATACAGAAACCTAGAGAAGAACTGATGTGTTTGAATTGGGGAGGAATACTGAGGATTGCCAGAACAAACTAACGTGTCTTGGAGGAAGTAGTCAGAAGCAAGACTTCATCTTTGGATATATTATCAGGAGACCATCCAAACCCCTGTCTACTGCTATTGAGTCAATCCAACCAAGAGGAGCTCTGGAAAAGGCCAACATGCTTGGTAAAGTACAAGGTCAGTGTAAAAAAGACGACCTTGGACAAGATGGGCTGACACAGCAACTGGAACCATGGACTCAAACATAATAATTGTGAGGATGGTGCAGGACCAGGCGGTGTTTCATTCTGTTGTACACAGGGTCACAGTAAGTCAGAGCCAACTTTGTAGTACCCAACAACAAACACTAACATTTTATCTTAAGTAGGTGCTGGAATTTCAGGTAATTTTAAAATTTCCTTCTTTGAGCTTAACTATAGTTTCTAAGGAGTCCTAGTGGTGTAGTGGATTACACACTGGGCTGCTAACTGCGAGATCAGCAGTTCAAAACCTCCAGCTGCTCTGTGGGAGAAAGATGAGGCTTTCTACTCCCTTAAAGATTTATAGTCTCAGCTTGGGTTTCTTCCTTCAGTACCATTGGTTCTTGCTCATATGCTATCTCTTAAAATGGTAGAATGTTGACTAGTTCTTAGGTGCAGTGACTCTGTATATTCTTTCCACCTTCTTTTGATGCTTCCTGCATCATTCAATATTTTGCCCATTGACTCTTAATATTGCAACTTGAGGCTTTAATTTTTTTCTTCAGTTCTTTCAGTTTAAGATCGGCAACACCACCCCTCTTGATTGTGTCATTCCTGGCATAGTAAACTAAATGATTTTTTGATTCAAAATGGCCAATACCGGTCAATTTCACCTAATATTTAGATGATTGATCTTTATGTGTTCCAAATAAATTCTGAATGACATCCAATTTTCCTAGATTCATACTTCATACATTCCAAGTTCCAATGATTAATTGATGCTTGCAGTTGTTTCCTCTCATTTTGAAGCTTGCCCCAGCAGCCAATGCAGGTCCCACAAGCTTTACTCATGCAGACTTTCCTCGATCCGGGTCATTATGGCTGACCCTACTTTGAGAAGGCAGCTCTTCCTCAGTTATATTTTTAGTGTCTTCCAACCTCGGGATCTCATCTTCTGGCACTGTATCTGTGTTCTGATTCTGTTCATTACGTTTTAGTAAATGACAATATTTCAATGCTGTATCCATGAGGTTTTTGTTTGTTCGTTCATTTGTTTTTTA